GCGGAGCCTCTTTCACTTTTTCCCTCCCGAGTGCCCCCTTCTCACCCCTCCCACTCCTCACACACCCTGTTTGCCCGTGAGCCTGGGGAACTTGCAGTTTAAAGCCGGCCACCCCCACGGCAATATGTACCCCAGCAACAAGAAGAAAAAGGTGTGGAGAGAGGAGAAAGGTAACGGCCCGTCGGGTCCCGGGGCGCTGGAGGGTGGGCGGGCGCGGGTGGGTGGGGGCGGGGGGGTCCCTCCGGCCGGTGCCGCCGCCGCCCGTGTCCGTGTGTTAGTCGGGCACACGCGCGCACACCGTCGGGCACGCGCGCCCGCACCTGCCGCCCGGCGGCCCCTCCGCCACCGCCGCGCGCGGTCACCTTCCCCCAGGTGGCCGGGACAAGTTCCTCGGGACCTCGGCTGGGCGTCCCACGCCGGCAGGCGCGCGGTCTCCCGCGTCCCTTCCCTCTGCTGCCCTCCTCCGTCCCAGCCTGGCGAGGGATCCCCTGCTGTCCCGTGTTTCTCCCTTCCTCCGGGTGTCTGTTCCCTTGGTCGTGGGAGACAGGGTGACTGACGTTTGGAACTCTAGGGAACACCTTAAACCGAGCATCTTGTTCGCGAGCCTTAATGCCTGCGGAGAAGTGTGAATCTGCTTTTCTCTCGGCAGTGTCTTTCTCAGTATTGCATTCCCATTCATAATCTGAAGTTGCCCAGAGTAAGATTGTGTGTCACTGTGAATGAACCCATCCCTGAATGTTATGCAGTGCAAGACTTAGCCAAATCAGTTAGATTACAGTGGCACTGATTCCCCCGGAAAACAACTGTGTGATTCAGTCCCCTCCCTTAATCACTCTTTTTCACTATTCATAGGTCATAGTCTGATGTAAAATTTAAGTCTGGCATTTTCCCTTTCTTTTTTACACCTTTTTCTTTCATTCTTCACCCCCTTTTACATAAATGTAGGGAAAAGTACTTGTTGCATTGCTCCTGACAAGATAGGCTTGATATACACTAATGTATCAAAGGTGAGTGAGGTCCAGTAAAGATAGTAGAACTTTTTCCTGAACATCTCATCTCTAAAAGAGGATAAAAGGATGGCAAGGTTGAATTTAATTTCCCTGATAATGTCTCTTGAAAACCTGTATATTATTACTGCAAACCTTGGCCTTTATGAACATGAGGGCTTAACGGTGGTAAGAAAAGAAATGAAAAGAAGAATCCTCTATAGGACCTACTTCCAACAATGTAGGAGAAAGGGACAAGGAGGGAACTTTTTTCCAATTATAGGAAGGTTTAATGTAATAACTGAACATCATAAAGTGGCCTTTAAATTTTTTTAATGATTAATATTTCTCATTTAATTGTTTTAATAATTATGAGCTTCTAGAGATCAAAAATTCTACTGTCACAAAACAAATGTTGACAATAAGAGCCTGATATATAAAGTAGTTTAATATAGTTTTGCTTCACTTTTATAGTAGCAGTTACTTATATATTTTAAACAAAGATTTACTTTCTGAGCATTGGGAAATCATTAATGCCCATTTTTATTGATGGTTTTGAAATGTTGCCATTGTATTATTGCTAATGAAGGGAAATAGACATAGACATTATGTTCAATAATATGAATCATTGATGAAATTATAGTGGGTACATAACTTTTCCTGTTATATTAAAAGTGTTTCTAAAGTAACTGTCTTGGTGGTTTATTTTATATTACAGAGACAGATAAGCAGGCATTTCAGAATCTTTTAAAGTCTTTTTTTTTTCCTTTCTACTTCTAATGGAAAAATATCCAAATTAGTATTTTTTTTAAATACAAAAGCAAATGTACAAAGAAGGCAGTTAAAGTAATTTTCCCATTCAAAATTAAGCTAGTTTTGCATGAAGTTTTAAGTTAAGGAGAAAAGTATGATTTGATGACTTTTAAGTTAAGTCTCACTGTTTTATCAGGATGTTCATCTTTGAAAGATTTATCACATGTTATTCCACCAAAAAGGAGCAAAGATTTTCTAGTACAAAAGAAGCTGATGGGAGGCATGACCTTTTCCTTTTATACCACTGGAGAATTGATGGCATAGTATTTTTGCAGCTGTTATTTAAATCTAAAGGAAGGTTTACCTACTTCATTGAAATGTCAAGACTTTCTGGAAACGTATTTTAACTCAGTACACCATCTAATAAGATTTGCTTGCTTATATGCTTGCTTGACAGAGAAAGGATTCATTAGAAAAGTGAAGCAGTTTTTAAAGAAAAGCTTTATATAACCCAAAGAAACTGCATATGTCCCTGACCTATAGTATTTTGTTGCTCAAACAGATAGCGTAATGGAATTATTAAGACCACATATGTTAAATTCAGCCCTTATTCAGAGCCGTTTAATGTGTACTTTCAAATATTGTTATGTACTGTTTTTGATTTTATATAATTGATTTTACTTTGGTCTTCATACTTTTGAACAAATAAAGTAAGTCAGGATTCATTTCAATACATATCTGACATTTACAAAAACTTATAAGTTGCTTAGTGTCTTTTAACTGGATCACTTTTTGTAATTATTCCTTATCAATGATCTTTTAAAGTAGTGCTTTAGAAACTAATACTAATCTTTTTTCACTTTTGTATAATTCCAAATTTACTATTCCCTACAAGCTTCCTATTCCACCAGTGCTCTTTTTCCCTATAGTAAACATAAAAATTGTCTTTTTAATTTACAAAGAAAGTAAATGACATATAATAGGAACAGCCCTAGCATACTTCTCCATGGTCTCATTGCTTTTTTTCTTTTATAGTCTTGAGGTTTTGTTCTTGTCTTGTGAAAAAAAAAAAAAACACTTTTCTTCTTTGTTTCTGAAATTAACCCCTTTGCTTATTCTCTTTATTCCATTTTCTATATTTGAGATCTTGTGCTATCATTTTTTATTACTGGGTATCTTTAATTTCCCGATGCCTTTAGGACCCTCTGTACTGTCTATAATATATTCAAGTGTCTTCTCTCTTAAAGTAGTTTTTCTGCTGCTTTCACTTTTTTCTTTTGCAATGTCCTTGTGTGAGCTTTTTGTTGCTATAGCAAAATTCCTGTGAATAACAAGTTGAAAAGATTAATTTTGTGTCATGATTTCAGGGGTTTCAACCATAGTTTGTTGGTTAGGTTCATTGTTGTGGGTCTGTGGTAAGGCAAACTATTGTGGCAGAGAACATGTAATGACCAGAGTGGCTCACCTTACACTAGACAGGAAGCAGAGAAAGGAGGACAGTGAGGGAGAGGAAGGGGTCTGGGACAAGTCCCCATGATCATCTTCCTTCAACTAGGCTCTACCTCATAAAAGCCCATTCAACCATGAACTCACTAATGAATTATTCATTGATGAAGTTAGCACCCTCTTCGATCCAGTCACTGCTCAAAGCTCCACATTTGAACATTGCTTCATTGGGGTCAAACCTCTGATATGTGAGTCACTAGGGCGCATTTCATATTTAAAGCGTAATAGCTCCTCTTAGTTTCCTGGATTTCATTTGTATCCTAATGAAACTAATGTTCCTAAAGTCATTTAGTATTAACAGTGATGGTTGGATTAATATAAAATGGTTATATTTAAATTAACTTATGCACTCAGTACTATTATAGGTTATTGCATGTTATTCTCACAGTTTCATGAGATAGGAAAGTGTGTGAGATAGCACACTGTAAAACTGAGAGCTTTGAACACAGTTGCGTAACTGTGAATCCTTGCTATACTGCTTACTTGCTGTTGGATGTTAGGTAACTCTTTGAACTCTGCTTTGCTTCATTTATAAGTTGGGAAAAATACCTGCCTACTTAAATCAGAAAGAATCTGAAACATGGAGATTGCAGTGATTTAGATTAGAACCCAAAGAGCTCTGTTAATCAGTTTTCTTTCTTTTCAGTGCAGTTTGCAGCTTAGTTAGTAAAAAGTCATGACTTTTGTAGTATCATGTTTATTCTTCTATATCTACCTGTAGCAGTTGAGAATATTTCCCTCCTATGTATTAAAACTCTTTTCCCTGCTGTCTTCCACATTGTAGGGACCTTTAGCTCCATTAACAACCAGGTTCTCTTTAATTGTTCTATTTGTGCTTCCTACCCAAGTTTGTTTTTAATTCAGTTCATACCCACCCCACCTTTCTTTTTCTAGGACCAGAAATTTAGGTTATAAATTCAGATATATTTAGGCTAGATCTTTCTCCTGAGTTCTAGATTTTTTTTTTTTTTTTTTTTTCAGAACCGGGGATTGAACTCAGACCCTTGTGCTTGCCAGGGAAGCGCTTATTCCACTGAGCCATCTCCCTGGCTCCCCTGAGTTCTAGATTCTTGATCTCAGCTTCTTGAAAGTCTCATAGGTATATTCAGTTTGTTAACTTGAGAAATGTGACTTGAATATATTAAATCCATGCATATGAACTACATATCTTGTAATACGTTGAAAGAACATTGGAGAGTATATGAATGTGATTGTCAATCTGTCCATGGTGGACACCCCTATTAAAGTGATACATGACAACTGACATAAACTGAGTGAACATGCCAGGGACAGTTTATATGTTCAATATTGATGACTCTAGATTATTCCTTGTTTTGAGGTTAAAAAACAGATTTTTTTCTGCATATTAGTGGATAATTTATGTACTGATTGGAATATGCATAATTAACTTTGAGTATTAGTGATGAAGTTTATGGAGTAAAGGTTAAATTGCTTAGAATGTCATACAAGTCCCTATACCAGTGATGGTGAATTTAGGCACATGTGCTACAGAAGGTTGCATTATTGAAATCTCTGAAAGGTTCACCATCATTGTGCCCGTACAGTTTTCTTTTACCTTGTTTCATCTGTTTTTCACTTCTGTAGCTATTCTTCTCCAAATGTATCTAGTAATTTCATTAAGCTATTTCCATTTTCTTATTTTTGTTAATGTTGTTCTGTTAGTTGAAATCCTTTTTAACCTGCTCCTGAAAATTCTACCTGTCCTTTGTGAGTCCTTCTGAGGAGCTGTTCCTGAGAAGATAGTATAGTGTTAATGCATAGACTGTACTGTCTAATTAATGGAGATATCTACCTGTATTTTTATCTTGGCTTACTTGAAAGTTCCTGATGGTGTGCTTTATTTTTCTATGTACAAAGTAAGGATAGTCTATCAACTGTATGAGTAATCATTTCAGTAACATAATACATGTGAAGTACTGGCAAACAGTGAGTTCTTTATAAGTGACACTCACTGTTACTAATTCTAAATTGCAATTTTTATTTTAATTTTATAACCAAATATTACCTCTACAAAGTTATTACTCAACTGAAAGTGTACTTTCATTGTTGATGGTCTTGTAGAAGTAAGGAAATAATTTAGTGACTGCCTTTCTCGTGCTTCCCTTATTTGTATATCTGTCTTAGCATTTTAAATTTTGTTTACATCAATATTATTTTGCCTCTTATCTATTTTCTCTTTAGTCCTATGAACTCAGGATAAAAATCATCTTTGTACCTATAAACATGTCATCTTGCATATAGTAGGTTGTCAGAAAATATTGACTGAAAAGTGAATGAATTATTTATAGACTTTACAGAGTGTCTTTATCAGACTTTGGTTTTATTTTTCTAGCTGATATGGAATGAAGTGGACATCTTTTAATACTCAAATATGAAATTATTCACTTTGTGTCTTGGTGTTTCTCAAAATTGTACCAAACCTTTGCTTAGCTTACCATGATTAATATTTAAAGTATAAAATAATTCCCAAGCTTAAAAGTTAAATACAAATGAAGATTCTGCTTTTATTTTGCAAGAACGTTTACTGAAGATGACCTTAGAGGAGAGGCGTAAAGAATACATAAGAGACTATGTTGCCCTGGATACCATTCTATCCTGGAAGGAGGAGATGAAGGGCAAGAGCCAAAATGATGGTAAGTTTATCAGCATACCTTTTAGTAGCTACAGTTCCCACTTACTTATGGCCCCTGTAAGACATTTGTTGACAGAAATAGATAAATGGCATCCAAGTAAAAGATGACATTTTTGTTATTTTTTAATTTGAAGTTATTTCTTGATTATCATTCAGGTTTTTTCTTTGTAGTCTGTCATGTGGTTTTAAAGCTTAGAAGTATATATTAACATACTTAGTGTTCTCAAATGTACCACATTTGTTGGATGGTACTTTTTTTACAGGTACATTTTCATTTTCTAAAAGAACTATTCTGAAAAAGTTTTTAGAGCAAATGGTATTATGAATTTACTACTTTGATGGTATGACATGGCAAATTTGATTAGTTTCATTTTTACTAGATTTCTTCATTTTAATGATTGCATGCAATGAAAAGGAGTATATTAGGAAAAAGAGAAAATCAAAAAGTATTTGACATTTTAGAAACAAATATATTTTTATGATGTGGTATTATATAAACATAAAATTATGACAGAATTCTCTTAAGCTCTTTATGGTTTTATGAGAGTCTATGTAATTAGAATAGAAATGAAATATTAAGGCTTAAAAAGGTAGATAAAAAAGTTTCTAAATGTAGCCCAGTACATTTAGTGGATATGTAATATTTACCTCAGAATTAACACTCATTGTTAATCTGGATGTAAAGTTTAGACAAATGGTATTTTTTAGGGTATGTAACAGTTGAGAAGTAATATTACTTTGGAATTGAACTTGGAACACATTTGTTTTTCAGCTTGTGATCTCAGATTAGTGGAACTATACAGAGTACTTTGGGCCTAGAATATGTGTAACAATTTTTATGAACATAATTTGTGGGGAAAGTAGCCAAATTAGGCTTTGGTTTCTGAAAAGTGAACACAATTATGTTTCGGCCTTAGACTGAGTTTATTTATTTATTTAGAAACATGAATAATATTAATTAGGAGTGGAAAGATGTGGGCTTTTTATATAATGTGTGTGTATACTTTGGGTAAATGGGAGAGTGGCTTCACACCAAATTTTGTGAAGTCATTGGACAAGCTAGTTGATATGTTTATATCTGATCTGCCTGCCTAGTGTCTTCATTAAATGCAATCTCTTTTAATAATGGTCTATTTAAGGTATTGAAAGAGAAAGAAATGCTTTATAGTGGAAAGAGTATAGGGTTTTGGCCTTGGTTGGCATAAGATTTTGTGCCCCTTCCTATTTGAGTCCCTTATCTTTTCTTTGCTTGTTTATAAGCAAATATTATTGAACACTTCAGTGCTATTTTATTTATGGCTAATGAATCCCTCTCTTTCTACTGTCCCATTCATGTCATTAGTTTTCTTGGTTGCTGGTTTAGCCAGTCTTCTGAGGATGTTCTTTTTAGTAAATTTTACCTCTTGATGTAGAGATGGAGTCCTGCTCTTGCCAGAACAATTGACAAAGCAGTAGTTGACACCAAGGCTTCTTTGCTAAATACTGAACCTGATAATCTCCACACAGAAGCTTGGTGTATTTGCTACTTCTGTGTGAAGATTTAATAAGTTACAGTGTAGGATAGAACTACATGAGAAAACTTGGATTTGGGTGTTTTCAGAGATAACACAAAGGTATAACCTCCTAATTAGAAAATAAACATTAACAACTGACATGGTTTTTGTCTCAGAAATGTTGTATGTTTATTCCTCTCTCTAAATATGAATCTTATAAGTGGCTAATATAGTTAATTTTTATATGATTTTT